AAACAGTCTCTTTCCTTCAGGGTGAGGAGCTTATTTTGGTTAGGAAAAGAAAGAGTTTACTGTGATCTCTTTCTTTTGGCAATGTCTGGGTAATCATTGCTCATAATAATGCCATCCCAGATGTTGAAACATCTCCTGTATTAATTTTACCCAGAAGATAATTTCCCTTAGAAATCATGTGCAAATCCTCTGTTCTAATTTAAGAATTAATTCAGTACACTAAATCTTAGCACTTCATCCTAGAAATGTTTTGCAGTGGCTGTTAACCCTTTGCAACAACAGCAAGCAGCCCAAACGGGAGATGTGGAGATGTAACAAAGCCTGTATCTCTTACAAAGCTCTATTTGAGGCTAGCACACAATGTTTTGAAACTTAGACACCTAGAACCTACCTGCTTAAGTGATTTCCTTCTCCTCAGAGAATCACAAATACAAATTGGTTTTCTGTTGCAAATATAGAGGGGAAATACACCAGTGGTCCTAGACACCCCACTCCAGTGGTGCCTGGGACTGTCATTCCACCCCTCATCGGGGCTTTGGCAGATGCCAGGAATGAAAATATGATGGTTCCACAAGACTTGAAGGAAAAAGAGGAGTTGAGTGGCTTGTCTGAACCTATTTAAGAAATATATAGGAGAGCTGGGAACACATCACACTTCTTCTGAGTCCTGGATATGGATCAGTAGTACCTGAGCATGCCTCCCACCCTGGGTCACATCATGCACATGAAAGTACATGCCAGTCTACTACTGGTGTGAACCTTTGATGATCTTTCTTATTTAATTTATAATGGAAACTATGTCAGACTCCAGGCTGAGCACTTTCCTGCCCTTCCACGTCATGACAACCTAACTCATGGCAGCCTTTCTACTGAAAGACTTCTACTGTCATTGAAAACAATAAAGAAATTAAAGAGGCCAAATCTATGAATTTCCCCCATATGTGTTAGATCAGAGCGCAGCCCAGCACACCTCTTGTGGAGCAAGATGCTCCAAAAAAATGTTTTCCTGATTCCTAACAGCACAATAAAACTTCATTATATCTCAGTGGTAATATCCAGCTAACTGTTCCATGCAATGTAAGGTCACATTCTGGATTTCACTGATTTTACTGGGGATGGCTCTGTTTGTGTAAGTGGTACCTGGTGCACCTTGCAGAGCTGAGGGCCAACCAAGGACCTGCTCCAAAGAGGATTCATTCGGAATCAGCTTTGATAATTATCATAAGGTGATTATACGGGATTAGAGCCGGGACGTGCCAGCACCTCCACCACCACCTCCTAAACTCTCAGATGCTGTGCTGAGACTGTGCAGCAGCTCAGCCTCAGGAGAGAGGAATGATGCAATCTCACAAAAGGGACCTTTTCCCTTTCATTTCAGTAAAATAGGTTGGAAAAATTTTGCTGTGTCCTGGTCCTTAAGCAAAGGAGGTTGCATTTGTGTTACCCTGAAATTCAGCACAGTGACAACTGCAGGATGGATCTACTGGCCCTGCAGCTCCAAGCCTGTGCATTGGTTATTATTCCTCCTGATGAATTCACCTGGGGGATCTGATTCTTGAATGCAAAGCTCTCAGGTCAGGACAAATAGAAAATGCATTACATGGAGCGTGACATGCTGTGAGTCCCAGAAATGTGTCGAGATATGTCCATAGGCAGTGGGATAAAGTCGTTCCTTTATCTTCAAGTTGCTGCTGGAATTTCCTTCTAAAAATCTCTGCTTGCATCAGCAATGGCTATTTGCAGTGAAATATTGGAGTTTCTTGTATTTATTACGAATTGAAATATAAGAAGCTAAAATCACAACTTTATTCTAATTTTGATCAGTGGGATTTTTAGCTCCCTGTCTCTGTCATTCTTGGATTCTGACTGTTCCCTGAAGTCAGAGACCTGTCTCAGCAAGGAAAATGGGGAACACTTTAGTTTCTTTCCATTCCTTCAACTCCCCATTTGGGGTCCCCCTTCACAAGACATTCACAACCAAACCATGTCCACATGGAACTTCTCATTCCTCACAGCACAAAAAGCAGAGCCCAGCACAACTCATCTCTGCTGTGATGGAACACACAAGTTTCTCTCTGAGCTATAATCTTTATTTTATTACCTCCATACAACACTCCTCAGCCTTAACATTAAATCACCCACCCTGTGTCTGCATCACTGGAGATTTTATATTTATCTGCCAGAGCTGTGTCTCTTGCCCCACTGTAGCTGTGATGTTGGTGACGTCCCTATTTTCAGCCACATGGGCGGCTGTCATTTAGGTTTTGTCAAGGAAACGACAAAAAGACACCGCATCAAATCTGAAATATTTAGAAACCTTTTCTCAAAAAAGCCCCCAGAACTTAAAGTATTGTCCTGGTGGGAAAGCTAGCTGTAGTTTTCCAACCAACCTCCAGCCTAAATTTTCTGCAACATCTCAGGATTTTGATCCCAAAAAGGAACAGTTTGTGGTGTCTGAGGCCCTGATCCTGCCACCAAACATGTGCTGTCTGGTTCTGCGGGGGTTTTCTCCTGTCTTCAGCGAGAGAGAGACATAGTTTAGTGTTATTTAGTGAACTGTCACAAGACAAGCAAAGACACAGCTACTCTCACCCAACCCACTGATCTTTCTAGAAGACTTTAAATATAATTTGTTTTGCTGTTTGCCTTTGCTTTGCTGTTCTCCTGAGCTACAGGAGACTACATTCTCATTTAGGTTGTTCCATACTCAGATTCTAAAGCACCTTGTGAAGGAGAGCTGTGTTTCCAGACGTGTTTTCCAGTTCAGATCAATGTGCTCAAGTCCTTGGTCTCAGCAAGAGCTTCCCAAATGTGTCAGATGTGGGAAGTTATGTGTGTGGATGAGTTGATATAATCAAGATGGAAGGGGGCAGAAGTTCACTGTTAATTTTGTGGTCTGGGAGTGGTACTGGTATCTGCTGGAGATGGGGACAAAAGCTCTTTGCAGCCTGTTGGCAGCAGGAGGGAAGAAAATATCTCAGCAAAAAATGATGCCCACCAGCAAGACTGACTGACCATCCCTCACCACGAACACACAGCCCTGGCAGCTCTTGCTCCCAAGGTTCAGCTCCCAAGCTCAGTGTTTGAGCTGAGGACAGTGAGTACTGGCACAACAGAACATTTTCTTTTCATTCCCTTCATTTCCCCTCCACTAGGGAAAAAACCTTGAGTTTAAAGACTGCTCTTGTTTGATAACTTCCCTTAACTACCAGCTAAATAATACATGAACACTGATCCACTGTGCTGACTGATGACTCCCTCTCCTGACCCTGCTTTATTTTTATTGCTTGGCTCGGACCAGTTCCTTCAAGTCCTGAATCATCAGAACAGAGACCTTGAGGTATTCCAGCCAAATCAATCCCTGGCCCATTGACATATTGCTTTACCTAACCAACCATACAACTTCGCTTTTCCCTGATAATTTCTCAATTAATTGCTTTTCAGCTCTCATTCGTTACAAGGTCAGGCTGTGACTGGGCTTGTACATTCCCATCTCTGATAAACTCTCCTGGTCCCCTAATCAGCCACGACTGGGATTTTAGTTCCATTAACTTATTCATCATCTAGACATTTTCATCTTGGGGAGCTTGACTTTTGATTGTATCAGTAGTATCTTCAATTATTTAAGAGGACTTAAAATTCCCTTCTTACCTAGAAGGAAAATGCATTTTGAGCCCTGAAAATGGAACAGATTGGACCACAGTCCTTTGGATGTTCTTTTGTGCAAGCCCATGTTAAAAATCTTGTGCATGGCCAGAGCATAAGAATTTTCTGCTGGTGAACATGTGTTTGCATGGGGCTGACTCTATTAAGATGTCAGCTATAGGGGAATGACAGTATGCTGATGACTGGTGGCTTACTAATGCTAAATCACGCCTGAGATTCTGTTCCATGATGTCAAACATTGATTCAGTTTCCGTGGGAAGTTATGCAAATGCCAGAGCCCTTCAATGAGATCTGAAACCGAAATTGTTAGGGGGGGAAAAAAAAAAAAAAGGAAAAAAAAAAGCTTGCCCTCTCCTAGCAAGAAATCTTTTTATAAAATCTTGAAGGTGGCAGCTCCAGGAAGGGGGTGCATTTTGAACAGGCCCCTAAGACAGAAGGTCTCATAGGACCCTTTGCTGTGAGCTGGGAGCCAAATCCTTCTCTTCTGCTGCAACTTTCTGTCTGGGGCTGTGCTTCATCTTTGCAGCAGCTGGTCCAGGCTGAGGCAACAACCCACTGGTGCTACCTACCAAAAAATTAATCTTTTAACAAAAGCAGCAGGCTCTGTTACACCATGAAATGCCCTCCATCCCAGCTCTTCTGCATGCCCCTCTTCCCACAATTTACATCCAGGCAAAGCTCCAAAGAGCCTGCAAGATTCTCCCAGTGGGAAAAACGGTGGCAAAAATTAACAAAATGGGAAATGGCACATTTCTGAACAGGGTGGTGGGATCAAGGAATCTGGAAACCCATCTTGCTCTTTATCCCAGGCTCATGGAAATCAGTTGTCTGAAAACCACCTTCCAAGGATGGTGCTGGGGAACAGTATTAGACTGAGTGCTTCAGGCTCTGAAGAATATCCACAGAGAGAGGTCAAACTCTATTGGCAGGCTCTCTAGGAAGAAAAGCTGGTTTAGTATTGGGAAGACAAGACCTGCTACATATTTTAAAGGAGCCTCCTCTTCCAGGAAATATGTGCTCCAGTTTCAGTTCCCTTTCTGCAGAACATGGGTGGTAGCTTTTAGCGCCCATGATTTCATTGTAGGCCACAGAATTATGGATTTTTCTGGCAGAACCCTATGCTCACACTTTTGAGTGTAAATTTTCATCATTCACTTAAAAAGAAAACCCCACATTATCGCTGGGAGGGGCTTAGAAAAGATTAAAAGCACAGAAAATTGAAAACACCCCACGCCAATGGGCAGGGCTGTGTGATGAAGGGAAGTGCAACAGCAACAACAAATGAACTCTGGGGTGTTGCTTTGTTTTTCCCCCCCAAAACCATAATAACTCACCCATCCCACTGGAAAAAACCCTGCCCTTTCTTGATGCATCGGCAAGAAGGGCCTTTCCAGGGTCTCTGTTGCTTCCTGTAAATGATGTAACAGAAGGCACCAACACTTGGAGGACGTGAAGAAACGTACAGTTCTCTCTCCGCCTGTTGCTAGGATTCACAGCTATACCCCACCGCTTTCTGGGGCTTCGGCTCCTATTTTGGCTGTAGGAAAAAAAGAAAGAAACCTTGTTGCTTCCAGGCTCTCTGCATCAGGCTCAGGCAGCTCCAATGCCAACCCTTACAATATTGCTACAGTCAGACATAAAATCTTAATGCACAATAGTGCCTGGAATCTTACATTCTTCTGAAAAAGGTGAGTCCCCAGTAGTAAATGAAATATTAAACATTATTAAATATGAAACAGCTAAACCTGGATTCCATTAAAATGAATCTTTCATGGTTTTCCTGGTTGCCTTTCTTTCCCCCCCTTTCCCTTTTTTTTCCCAGGGAGCACAGTGATTTGTGAGCTTTTATGTGTCCTTTTAAAGACAGAAAAATCACAGGTAATTTAAGTCTGTTCTATTCAGATTTATCTTAGCTGCAAAACAAATCAAGGCTGTGAAACTCTGGCGTGGTTGCATCTATCTGACTGAACTATTCAGCAGCCCATATCAAAGGCTCACCTAAAGACACTCTTGTAATGCCTGCTGACATGTGCCACCTATTTAGAAATCTTGTACCCAGTAACACACTCCACTTTCATTTAGAATGGCTTTAATCTTCCACCATATGCTTAAAAAAAAAAGCCCCTCTTTTCTTATTACATGGGATATATTTAGAGCTGGTTTTGTTGCTCCTGCATGTTTGCCTGGAGTTAAGCTGTGACGGAGGTGAGTGCTCATGTGGGAGATGGAAACTGGGCGTGGAAGGGAATATCTGCAAGAAAAAGCTTGAAATTTCATAGAGCTGCCCTTAGATTGGTTGATCACACAAACATGACTGGGGTTATGACTATGCTGATGGCACAGGGAAGTCAACAGGATAAGCCATGACTCAATATTGTTGCTGTATTTCATGACTGCAGTATTTTCACCTCAAAGTTCATAAATATATGGTGACCTGCACAGGATGGCTGAATCTCTGCTACTGGAACAGAACAAAGGTGTATCATTCCCATTCCATGTGTTTATGTCCCTTCATTCAGAACTGAAACCCTTTCTGTTATTATCAACTTTTGCATTTGAACAGGATGGGTAAAAATTTTTAAAAGAGGATGGAAAAAAGAGCTCTTTGCTTTGCTAATGGGGTGCCAGAACCTGGCTCTTGTGTGAGAGCATTCCCTCACTCCAGAGGGTGGGGAATGCTGAAGAAAGCAGAGTCTGGTGGGAGGTTGCCTCTCCAGTAGACATCTTAATTCTGGACTCTTCTGGCTGCTGCATTATGGTCTCCAAAACATGCATGAATTAATCTACAGACACATTTCTGGGCTGGAAGGCAATAACTACTAAGAAAGATGAGTTAAAATGGCAAAGAAGGTAAAAATCCATTAATTATTCAAGACTACTGTTCCATTTTGTGCAAAAAGCCTTTCTACCTTGCTTTCCATTTTGCTCTCCTTGGGTCACTTCCGAGGCTCAGCGAAGGAGATTTAAATGGACTCCCCCTCTCAGGAGCTTGTGCTCATGACTCTGATGATTCCTTTGCACCCTGCTGGCTTTCACATCTCCCCCTCCAGCAAAGTGGGGCCCTGCAGCCAAGTGGGAGAACCCACTGTCTTCTCTGGTTCAGATTGTGCCACTTCATAGATTTCTCAAAAGACTAAACTGTACGACGTCATTTTCTCTCTTTAAACACCAATGTTTTCTTTTTGGTGTGTTTCAACTTCAGCTGAGATGGCAAGGGTACCCCACCAGCAATGGCCTGACCAGAAACATAAGCTCTTGGTCTGGTTTTGTAAGGACTTTTTATGCCTTCTTCTGGCCTGATGCCCTTGGGATGGAGAGCAACGAATCCCAACTGCATTATTTATTTATTTTAATGAGCTGCCTTTGGCCAGCTCACCCTTTCACCACAAAAGATTTCCAGTTGCCTCAGAGCACCAGAAAACATGTTGCAAACTGCTATGAAGCTTAGGCATGAACATGTCAAATAGGTGATCCACATGAGAGTAGATAGACGTGACATTTAGTAATCATCTTTCTTGGACAAAATGGGGCATTGCTGTCACTTTAAGTAAATCTCAGTCAAGTTTCTGGCATCTTACCATGGGGGAAGCAGGAGGCATAACAGTAAATTTCTCTTTAAAAAATATAAAAGATCAACCTTGGGAAAAAAAAAAAATGGTTGCCAGAATTTAAGGTGTAATACCTCATCCTGGCTCAGCCATCCATTTACTTGCTGCTGATATCAATATGTCACTCTTAATGTTTACTGATGTTCACTTTATAAATGATTTTTCCAAGCTGTCAGAGTATCTGTCACCGGCATCTCTTCCCCCTCTTTGCCTCTCATCCCCTTTAATAAAGATTAATATCTCTGAGGTTAAGTAAAAAAATCAGATACTACTTAAATCACAGCATAGGTCTGATATTTCAAAAAGATGAACATGTAATTGCTGAGATTATGTGAACAAATTGAATAATTCCTAACCTAAACGAACACAGTTGGCTTTTGTGGGGTCAGTTAATATCAGTGCATGTTCCAATAAATTGTATATTGTGCAGGCATTTGGGCTTCTGAAGGTTCACCCACTGAAGAACTGTAGATGTTCAAAGCCAAAAATCGGTGAGTTTAAGTTCTACAGCCCCTGTGAAGTTTTAATATGTTTAAAAGACATGCAGAATGAGGATTCAACAAAAATATGGCACATTGGCTTTCCATATTTATAGTCCACCAGTGACTTCTATATTAAATGGTTTCAGTCTATGAGTCCAAACAAGATTTTTCAACCTGTCACTCCCGCAGCTCAGCCTGGTATATGAAATGCTAAACATGTTCTGGCTGCTTTGTACATCTTCCTTGACAAACACCTGGAGTAATGATTCTAGAATGAATATTTAGCTGGCAATTTTATGGATGAAGCACAAACCAGTCATTTTGGCTTTGCAATGCTAAGAGCAGTGAACATGCATTTGGCTTTTAAATTGCAAGATGCAACTGGGAAGACACGGTGGAGTAGATGATGGACTCTTCATATAAGCTGTATTGCATGTGGCTCAAGTAAGGTTTGCCTTACCAAGAACTGCAGGATCAGACCAAAACAAGATGATACTTATGAACCAAAACTTACAAAACTAGAGGTCAAACTTAGACCCATTTTTATGACCACTGCCTTTGCTGTGTATGTTGGATGAACTTGTGGTTAAGAGTGGAACACAAGAGATTCATGGCCCAGCTTAGACAGTTTCCTGCAGACCTCCCACCCAGGCTGTGTGGATCAGGTGTAATAAAGGAGACAACACCTCAAAAGGGACTTCAGCCCTTCTTCCTTATCCATTTACCTGAAATCCTTTCGGCTTTGGCACTCCAGCTTTGGGTGTTAGAACTCTCTGATACCTGCAGCAGTAATTCTGCATATACTCAGATTTACAGCAGTTTTGATGAGGCTGAGCCACTCAATTTGTGCTTTGTACATCTGATCCATTGAGGACTTGCACACAGAGGCTCTTCCACTCTCTTCCAGGTACTGTCTGCTGAGACTTGTCTAAGAGCCGCTGGAGATCCAGGTCTTGTGAGTCTGGGAGGACCCAGACCCACCTCCCTGCATGGGGCAACACCCTCTTCTGTAGGCTGTGGGTATTTTGGACACTTGTGGTGCTGACCTGGCTCCTCTCCATCCTGTGTCTTCAAGAAGCATCCCTGGAAATGAAGAAAAACTTAAGGACTCACTGGATCATGAATGGAGCACGAAAAGGATTGTGGTTTTGATGAAGGCACTTCTTTAGGAGTGGAACATTTTATTTCTGTTCAGTGCTTTATCCAGAAGCAGTTTGACATGAATTGTTAGATTTAACCCTTAAGCTCTGAGTACAGCCCTCCTCCCAGTGTCAAAGGTAACATCCCTGTTGGTGTCCATCCTACAGCCTCCTCTTTGAGCAGGTACATTTTGCTGTGCTGTGAACTCACTGTCAGTGACAACTGCAGCTCCCTGACTCTGCAGGGATGGGGCTCTTTGAGAGGCAGATCCCATGCAAAGGGCACTGATGGTGTTTTTCAGTTTCACACAAAAACTTCCAAATATTGGCAAGCTACAAAAAAAGGGTAGGCACCAAAAGCTGATTCCTAAAGTGAGAATTATGTGCATAATTCCTTTCCAGTGCACCAACAAAACTATTGTGCTCAGAAGATGAGTCTGAAACTGCCTTTTGTTGTATTTTGTATGAAGTTGGATTTTCTATCTGCAATAACCACCAGGTGATTTTATTACTAGGAACAAGATTATTTTACAATAAAAGCAAATATTCTGGTATTTTAGCAATCATATTACAAAGAAAAACACTTCTAAATGTTGCAGGAATATTATAATATGTCCTAAAACCAGCTTAGTTTTGACTCACACAGATTGATATTTGCACTATTTTACTGTACAACACTGTTTTTCTTACACATAAATTGTTTCTTTCAGCTATAACTAACTTGATTCTCCATGTAGCAGGATTTGAGACTAGTAAACCACGAAGAAATTTTACACTGCAGACTGCAGCAAGCAGAGGTCTCTCTAGCAAAGGCATTATTTTACAAAATGATGGATGTGCATATTTATTTGCTCTGTGACTTCCATGTCAGGTTTGTCATATTTCCTCAAATTACTAGTTAAACCAAGGTTTTGTATTTTGTTTTGTTTTTGTTTCTGCCAAAGCCTGCAGGCTCAATATACCTTATAAAAATCAAGCTGTAATTTATCTGCTCCATAGATCATGTGTAACAATAATCACTCTGGAGTCTGTGCCGGGTTTGGATGTCTGGCTTTGTTGGAAGAGATGTATGAAGTGAACAAAAAGCTTCCTGATTTTCATACTCTGTAATAAACCTGAAATATGGAGAGAAGTGAAACACATATTTAAATTAAACTGAGGAATCATGACAAAGAAGGAGCACAGAGAAATACATGCACACCCAGACACATATTATGCAATGACACAGTATTATTTCTCTTACCAGATGGACCTCTACAAGTTCTGTACACTCTATGTCTCTGTACAGCAATCAAAGCAGTGAAACAA